TTTCAGAGAGAAATGTACTGTAACCAGCATGTACAACATTTGCTGCCTTCCTTCCTTAAATAAGGGCAATAATTGCCGCCTGTTTTTCAAAGAATGAATTACCTCACTAATAGAACTCCACACTGCTATTATTTTGAACACGCCCCTTTCAATTAGTGATTCAATTACACAGAATCAGCAGCATGCATGTCATGACTGTTGGGTCTGTTGGATTTCTATTACTCATCTACACCTGCTAGTAAATTATTTGCCATATAGAAATATAATTTCTACCAAAAACAGTGATTGATCAGGTTAGTGATGTCTGACTGCTATTATTTTGAACACAACTGTATATACGGTATATATTTATATATATATATTTTTTTTTTTTTTTTTTTTTAATTTAGCTGTTTATTCCTTGCTATTACTATAACTTACCACCAGAGAACAGCCCAAAATAAACTTTCCTGCTCCTGCCAATCGCAGCAATATCACATATGTGTATATTATTTGTTGTTTGTACCCGTACTACGGCCCAGAAACGATAGTGCATGTTTTTCCTTTTTTATCCTACCAAAAACACACAGGGCTCCATTCACAAAGAGGTATCGACCGATTTAACCGCTTTTCCACCACCCTACAGCAGATATACTGCTACAGGGCAGCAGGGGTGCGCAAAATCAATCACATATATATACGTGGTTTTGCATCACCCGGTAGGGGCGCACACGAGCCGTGCATGCACCCTACTCACGCCGCTGTTTGTGACCTCAGTTGTCAATCACCGGGTCCCGGCCGGTGATTGCTTGCCGGCACCAGGTGATCGAGGAGCATTACCGACGGAAGGAGAGAACTGTATGTAAAACAATACAGATCTCTCCCCTGTCAGCTCCTGCACACTGCTTTGCGTGGCTCTGCATAGTACAGCCATACAAAGCAGTGTGCTTACAGTTGAAAGCACACACACAGCACACAGTTAACCCTTTGATCGTCCCCACATGTTAACCCCTGCCTGCCCAGTGTCATTAGTACAGTGTCAGTGCTTTTTATTAGCACTGATCACTGTATTGGTGTCACTGGGGATGTCAGTGACACCAAGTCAGTTCCCCCCAGTGCCATTACTAGTAAAAATAAAACATAAATCCCAGTATCTATACCGCCATTTGTAAATGCTATAACATTCACGTAAACCAATTAATTTACACATGTTGGGATTTTTTTTAGCAAAGACATGTCGCAGAATACATTTTGGCCTAAATTTATGACGAAATTAAGTTTTTAACATTTTTTTACTGGACATGTTTAATAGCAAATAGTAAAAAATATTGTTTTTTTTTTCTCAAAATTGTCAGCCTTTTTTTTTATAGCGCAAAAAAATTTAAATGCACAGGTGATCAAATACCACCAAAAGAAAGCTCAATTCGTGGGAAAAAAAGGATGTAAATTTCTTCATTCCTGGACCACTACTTATTTACCGCATTTATTTTTTTATTTCCCTAAATGAATTGACTTAATGCACATAAAGGGATAGTGAATTGACATTTTTAGCTTAATACCGCATGCGATCTGCTTTAGTGAATGGAGCTCACTGACATTAAGGCTCGGTTCAGACTGCCGCAACTTGGGATCCGACTTGTGAGACCCCAAGTCGCATGACATGTGGAATCCCATGTTAGTCAATGAGAGAGGTCATTATTAGCACTACTGAAGGCGACTTCTGCCCATAGACTTTAATGGAAGTCGCCTCCAAGTCGGATCCTTATCTATATTGATGTGATTTGGATCTGACATTACAAGAAGATTACCAGGCATTCCCTGAAAGTCACTTCAGAGTTGCTTCTAAGTCGCTTCAAAGTAGTACTCAATATACCTAGCAAAGTTGCACTGTAAGTCGCACGACTTTCAGGTAGCAGTAGAGACTAACTGACACTAACGCTTCTGTCACACCGCTCCGACTTTGAAATCGTGTGACTTCTAGTGAAGTCGCAGGATTTGGCATTCCGACTTGAGGTGCGACTTGCAAGGCATGCACTACTTTAGAAACCGGTGCAGCTCCGACCAAGTCGGAATCACACCGGTATGACCGCTGTATTTGCGGGCAATAGGGTGCAACTTGTCATGCAATTTGCAAGTCGCATGGCATGGCAAATCGCATTCCAAGTTGCACCCAGTGTGATCTGGATCTTATAATAAAAATGTTTTGTTTTTATTAAATCCAACCTAAAATACACTCACCATAACCTTTGGCATTGACCCTAACCCTGACCTAGATCAAACCCTGATCTAGCGATTTTTTTTTTAGGCTGGGTCCACACAAGTGCGGGTCATGCATTCATTTGAATGGGCTGCTGTGCCCATGTTTCACGCAAAAAAAAAAGGCCTATGCACCTTTTCAAAAACGCATCCACAGGGAAATCGCATGGTCTTTGTGACCTGAGATGCGTGGGAGTGCAATTCAGAATGAATGGCAGCCCCGCGCGTCTCACAAGAGCAGCACGAGTCGGCTGCTGGTGGTTGCAGGTGTGGGAAGAGGTGCGATTCCTGCACCCGTAATCAGCCCACAGCCTGCAGGATAGTGTGAACCGGGGCTAAACACACACACCTCTTTGTTTACATTTTTCTCCTCTAACTAGAAGAAAAAGACACAAGGTATTTTTTCTCCATCAAAAAGGGAATAAAAAAAACATAGGGGCGGGCTGAACAGTGACTGATCAATGCAATAGCCAATCAGAGGATATCACAGTGATCAGGGGATGGTGACCTCAGTGTCCTGTTCCTGATCATTAGTATGAGGTCTGGAGCTCTCAGTGTGAGCTCCATCTCTGTGCTGGAGGTGTGCTGTTCAGCATGCTCTCAGCACAAAACACACGTATGCATTTATGCAGCCCCACAGATAAGGACCCACGTCCGCGAGGCCGCATATATATGATCATCAACATCAAATAAAACACCAGTGCAAGTTAAATAAAATATCTCTCAGTGAGACATAAGTGCAAAATGATCAGCGTATAACTCAGTGAATCAATGAGCAAATAAAATCCATCCAGTATATGTCAATGTGACAAAAGAACAGTCCATTAGGTGAACAAATAATGTGTCAGTGGCACTGTAGGACACAGCAGCAACCTGTTCAATTCCAAGCAGGTGCTATAGGATCCAGTGAAACATTCCAATACCAGAAAGCTGCTGGTATAGTAGCAGCAATGGCTGACCACTCAGATGAAATGCTTAGAATCTTTAGCCAAAAGGATTTATCCTAGGAAGAAAGCTGACCGCACGGAGCCAAGATGGCCACCACTCCTAGTCACGGACACAGCGGCATGACGTCAGCACGTAGGCTCTACCCAACGTGTTTCGTGCACATGCATGTCCTTAGGGGTGCACCCTCGGGTGAGGACGTGCATGAGCACAAAACGAGTTCGGATTTGGCACCCAAACTTTAGTAATGTTTGCCGCCCCTGCCTTAAAACCAAATACAAGGTACTTTCAATTCATGCCTACTGGCATACAGAGGCTTAAGCCCCATACACACGATGAGAATATCGGACGAACGATCGCCCATTATTTTTTGCCTGCTAGTCTCACATTGAAAGTGAAAAGGTTACTAAAGATACGAAAATTCTCCTACGAAAGAAAAGAATTTGGAAACGGATGTCATGTATTTGTATTGTACTTTTGGACAACTACTGTACTGATTAAACAAAAATCATATGATCTGGTATCGTACGAGCAGGGGCGGACTGACCATTTGGAAACTCGGGAACTGCCCGAGGGGGCCCAGGGTCAGTAGGGGGCCCCATAAGATGCCCCTTGTACCTTTTTTTCATTGGCTTTTTTGAGTTTTTGGGCAATTACACAGGGGCCCCGTGATCCCCTATTGCCTGGGGGCCCCATGAGTTGTCAGTCCGCCCCTGCGTATGAGAGAAATTTTCGCGCTTGTCCCTTCGGATATTGTCGCGCAAGTTGTCGTGATCGGCTCTCGAAAGCTGTGTACTAACGATCCGATTATCGGACGATCGGGTCCCTTGTACGAAAATTTTCGGACGATTTTCTTATAGTGTGTACGGGGCATTACACTTCTCTGACCTCGGAGCTCTAGCTTGTACCCCCCCCCCCACCACCACCACCACTGCCAATGCACCTCATAAAGACGAGTCCCATCCAACAGCAGGACCAATCACGACGGGTTCACTTTCATTCTAAAAGTATGTAAGGAAGTGTTTGGTGGGCCGGGAAGGGATTAGAACACAGGATAAAGCGATCGCTGTTATGGATATTCCTTGCTCAGAAAAATCGGCTGAACGCCACTAACTACAGTGCCAGGTTCACGGAGGTCTCCTGTAATCCCCAGGCGGGGAAGCGTATTTTTTTTTTTGCCATGTGTTTAAGCCCCTATAAAAACCACCCTGGCTGTTTTATGGAGCTCTGCAAAAATAACCGCTGTTGTGGAAATCCTGTCTCTAAGTATCTTCTTTACATGCTTACAGCTTCCATGTAAGTGGCAGCTCCGGATAGCTTTTCCTTGGATGATGTATGTTACATTGTCTCACACCTGTGTTGTGTGCCAAGACACATTTGTAAGACAGTCGCCAGACCAATTTTTACATCGTTAAATTTATACTATGTCTTTTTTTTTTTAATCTGTAGATCTGCCCAGATTATGTAATAACTTTCATTTATAAAAAATCAGAGAACACGTCTCAAAATCACATCCCAATAATCTTCAGACGTTTAGTTATCTGAATAGGCGGGGCTTTAAAAAGTGGGTGTGGCTTGATAGACAAACTATTTCTGTTCCAAGACATTACTGTGTTGTTGTATAGAGTCCAATATTTCATGATCTCATTTGGCACACAAGACCCAACTGTCTGGAGATGTTTTTCTGATCTCTTGCAGGTCCGTGTTCATTGCTTTATCCACCTTGGCACTGTCATCCCATTCTACCTTGGTTTTCTTTTTCAGCATCAGGGTCTTTTTAACCACTTCCAGTCCGAACACTTTCACCCCCTTCAAGTCCAGGCCAGGGGTGGACTGACCATTTGGAAACTCAGGCACTGCCCGAGGGCCCGGGGTCAGTAGGGGGCCCCATGAGATGCCCCTGGTACCTTTTTCATAGGCTTTTTTGAGTTTGGGCAAGGACACAGGGGCCCCATGGTCACCTATTGCCCGGGGCCCCATGAGTTGTCAGTCCGCCCCTGGTCCAGGCCAATTTTCAGCTTTCAGTGCTATCACACTTTGAATGACAATTGCGCGGTCATGCAACACTACCCATATTTTTTTGCATTTTTTTGAGACAGGTAAAACTTTATTTTGGTGGTATTTATTCACCACTGAGATTTGTATTTTTTTGCCTTGAAAGTGCAAACATTTTGAAAAGTGTTTTTCTTATAAAATTTTGCAAATAAATAATCTTTCTTCATAAACCTTGGCCAAAATGTATTCAGCTATCTTTTTAGTAAAAAAAAAAAAAATAAGCCAAATTAGTTTATAACCAAAAATTATAATTTAAAAAAAAAAAAAGTTTACATTTTAATTTTTTTTTTATATTATTTGTTTTTTTTTTTTTTTAACATACTGTCACCCTAACAGTACAGTGTCACCATAATACTACTTGTGGGGGGTGATGAAGATTTTTTTTTTTTTTTTTTTACACTGATTGCTTTTACACCCATAAAGGCTGTAAAAGCAATCATTTCTCCTTCTCTCTGACTGCATTCCTGCAGCCATTGAGAAATACTGTGAGAGTTGTGATTGGTCACAGCTGGTCACATGGTACAAGGCTGTTGTGAATAGCCTTGTACCATGTGACCTCTGTGATCATTAACAGATTTCACTAGTAGTAAGCAATGATGTTAGAAGTGACATCTTGCTTACTACTATTCATGTGATCACTGATTGGCATATTTAACCCTTTGATCACCCCTATTAAACCTTTTGCTCACCCCGAAACCCAGCAAGTGCCATTAGTATAGTGTCAGTATATAAAATTTTTCACTGATCACTGTATTCCTACCACTAGCGACATCAGATAGCATCAGGGACAGTTAGCGCCCTCCCAGCCAGGGTCAGCTAGCGTTAGATTGCCCGCACACTATCGCACTCACGCTATAGGTCGCTGCTAGCTGTGCTGGGAGCTAATCCAATGATCAGGCATGTGCTGACATGCCCCCCTCCTCCTTGAACAGCTAGTCACTGGGAAGACCAGTGTCCTGCTGTTTCTCCTCCTCCAGCTCTTATGCAGCTAAGAACAGAGGGAATGTGATCACTTATAAAAAAAAAGGGGGGGAGGATATATTTATAACGTTTTTATATCTATACACAGATGTGACTTTCATTTCTGTTTTAAACTGAATGGGTTGTTTTAAAAGGTGAGTGTTTGCATATACTTTAAGGGTCCGTTCACACCAGATGCAGTCCAGTGCATTTTTCTTTCTGCATCAAAATGCATGCACAGTATTTTCCATGTATTTCACTGACCCTAGTTCACACCAGTACAGTCAGTTCCAGTCAGAGGTCCTCGCTGCCCTGACATACAGTGCAGGACTGCTGCTCCTGCATTGTACATGATGACGTCAGAGCTGCGACTGCCTGACAGGGCACTGGAGAGAGGAGGCTTCAGGTGATGGGTTTTACAGGTTGGAGAACGCCTTCTTGACTGAGGAATAAAGTATAACAACATATTTCTCTAACCTCTAGACTTAAAGTAGAGCTAAAGACAAAGCTGTATTCATATTGGATAGAGAAAGGGAGAATTAGAACCATTTCCTGTCCCATAGTCTCTATTCCTGTTCTGGAGATTACCCAAAATTTGGGATTTTCTTTTGCTTTCACTCTCTCTTGTGTTTTTATTTACGTTTGACATTTTTTGGTGAGTGAGTAGGGGCACTATGCACCTCATACTCTTTCACAAAAGGAGGCAGGATCTGGGAGCCCCCTTGTTAAAGAAGCCTTCCAGATTTTGATTGGTCACCCCTCCCCTCTTGTCCCCATTAACATGGAGATAAGGTGTTTTTGGGGGGGGGGGGAGTATAAATACATCAGTGGTTCATATAGTGAACTCGGTGTAGAGTTATTCACCCTGAGGTCATCACAGAGGACAAGGGGGCACTCTTTACGTCTGGAGGAAAAGAAATACGGAAAGATTTTTTCACAGTAAGAGCTGTGAAAATGTGGAATAGACTCCCTCAAGAGGTGGTTCTGGCCAGCTCAGTGGATTTCTTTAAAAAAGTCCTGGATTCTTTCTTGGATACACAGAAAATAACTGGATACTAACATTTATAGGTAAAGTTGATCCAGGGAATATCCAATTGCCTCTCGGGGGATCAGGAAGGAATTTTTTTTCAAGCAGGAGCAAATTGGATCGTGCTTTGCTGGGGGTTTTTTTGCCTTCCTCTGGATCAACTGTGGGTGTAGGATTATAACTTTTTTTTTTTTTCTATGGTTGAACTGGATAGTCAGCCAGACTAACTATGTAACTATGGCACTATGTATTATTGATTACAGAGAGGCAATAATTTGTGTCCAGGGGCGGACTGACCATTTGGAAGCTCGGGCCCCTGGTACCTTTTTCATAGGCTTTTTTGAGTTTGGGCAAGGACAAAGGGGCCCCATGATCCCCTATTGCCCGGGGGCCCCGTGAGTTGTCAGTCCGCCCCTGTTTGTGTCTTTTATATCTGCCTAGAGTTCACCTTTAATGTCATGTCCGTTGTTGCTCTTGTATTTTATTTGGCATGACAACCCCATCTTCACAAAGGGGTCTGTTTTTCATAAAAGGAAACAGGTGACCGCTATGTCCACATGGTCTGCGTTGTGTAATTCGCACCCAGACCTCACATTGATGGAAACCTTTCCAGTCTAGGATTTGTTTTCCAGAGCGATACGATAAAACAGTCAGATACGAATGTCTGTGCCGTGCCAGCTCCAAATGGTTATCTTATTTCTGCATAGTATGAGGCCACAGCCAACTGACTGTTCCCACCTTCAAGCTGTCAGCGCCCAAACACGCTAGTAATGGATAGTTTAGTGACAGGTCAATCAATCTCATTAGTCATTTGCATCACAGCCCATTACACTATTAAACTAATAGGATTTGCCAGAGACTCTGACATTGGAAAGTTTGCAGCACTCATGAAATGGCATCACTTCAAACAGTGTGAAAGTTATCCTGTATTCTACTTTGAAAGGGATCCATCGAATGAAAGATGATCTACATTCCACAGACTTTCATTCCATTGAAGTAAAACACAGAACTTCCATTTTTTTTTCTTAAAGGGATATTATAGATGTTTTGGGTCAATTTTGAAGTAGAACGCGGGCAGCAAAAAAAAAACAATAATAATAATTGTAGACCTCCTACCCTATATATACTGGATATCCTGCTTCTTTAGTCTCACAAGTACTTATCTTACTCCTTAGTTCCTCTCTCCACCAAAGCCATTCCTTTTTGCCATTCGTTTTGCTGTCTCTCTCGCTAATGTAATCGTGAATAATGCAGGACCAGCGGTGATGATGTTGAGAGCCCATCCACATTCTGGGCCAGCACAGGAGAAGACCAGAGATGTGGCTACTGCTGAATCAAGGTGTACTGTCTTTGTCGCTTTTAAACCCTCTAGGACTGAAGGATAATAAGTTGGGAAAGTGGGGGGGGGAGGCTGACTTAAAGTGTTACTAAACCCAGGATTCACTATATCTGGTCTCCCACAGTACACACAACATGGAAATACAATTATTTTAGTAAATATAAACTGATAAATACCTTTTCTCATCAGCAGTTAGAGCAGTCTTGTGACTTCTATCAGTGTCCAGCAGAGCACTGGTTACAACTTGTAGGATGAATTTTCTCTAGGACAGCAGTCTCCAAACTGCAGCCAGTGGGCCAAATGCGGCCCTTTACTTGCCCCTATACAGCCCTCGGGGTACTATTCCTCACACAAACACCGACAATGGGGTATTTTCCTTCCACTGACACCAATGATGGGGCACAATTTCTCCCCTAATATAAACCATTAGGCACTATTCTTCCAACCAATACAAATGATGGGGCACTATTCCTCCCGCTGACACCAATGATGGAGCACTATTCCTCCCACTGACACCAATGATGAAGCACTATTCCTCCCACTGGTAGCAATGATGGGGCACTATTCCTCCCACTGATACTAATGATGGGGCGCTATTCCTCCCACTGATACCAATGATGGAGCACTATTCAACCCACTGATACCAATGATGGGGCACTATTCCTCCCACTGACACCAATGATGAGGCACTATTCCTCCCACTGATACCAATGATGGGGCACTATTCCTCCCACTGATACCAATGATGGGGCACTATTCCTCCCACTGATACCAATGATGGAGCACTATTCCTCCCACTGACACCAATGATGGGGCACTACTCCTCCCACTGATACCAATGATGAGGCACTATTCCTCCCACTGACACCAATGATGGGGCACTATTCATTCCACTGACACCAATGATGAGGCATTATTCCTCCCACTGACACCAATGATGAGGCACTATTCCTCCCACTGACACCAATGATGGGGCACTATTCCTCCCACTGACACCAATGATGGGGCACTATTCGTTCCACTGACACCAATGATGGGGCACTATTCGTTCCACTGACACCAATGATGGGGCACTATTCCTCCCACTGACACCAATGATGGGCACTATTCCTCCCACTGACACCAATGATGGGGCACTATTCCTCCCACTGACACCAATGATGGGGCACTATTCCTCCCACTGACACCAATGATGGGGCACTATTCGTTCCACTGACACCAATGATCAGGCACTATTCCTCCCATTAATACCAATGATGAGGCACTATTCCTCCCACTGACACCAATGATGGGGCACTATTCCTCCCACTGACACCAATGATGGGGCACTATTCCTCCCACTGACACCCAATGATGGGGCACTATTCGTTCCACTGACACCAATGATCAGGCACTATTCCTCCCACTGACACCAATGATGGGGGCACTATTCTCTCCCACTGACACCAATGATGGGGCACTATTCCTCCCACTGACACCAATGATGGGGCACTATTCCTCCCACTGACACCAATGATGATGGGGCACTATTCGTTCCACTGACACCAATGATCAGGCACTATTCCTCCCATTAATACCAATAATGAGGCACTATTCCTCCTACTTACACCAATGATGAGGCACTATTCTCCCACTGACACCAATGATGGGGCACTATTCCTCCCACTGACACCAATGATGGGGCACTATTCCTCCCACTGACACCAATGATGGGGCACTATTCGTTCCACTGACACCAATGATCAGGCACTATTCCTCCCATTAATACCAATAATGAGGCACTATTCCTCCTACTTACACCAATGATGGGGCACTATTCCTCCCACTGACACCAATGATGGGGCACTATTCGTTCCACTGACACCAATGATCAGGCACTATTCCTCCCACTGATACCAATGATGGGGCACTATTCCTCCCACTGACACCAATGATGGGGCACTATTCCTCCCACTGACACCAATGATGGGGCACTATTCCTCCCACTGACACCAATGATGGGGCACTATTCGTTCCACTGACACCAATGATCAGGCACTATTCCTCCCATTAATACCAATAATGAGGCACTATTCCTCCTACTTACACCAATGATGGGGCACTATTCCTCCCACTGATACCAGTGATAGGTCACTATTCCTCCCACTGAAACCAATGATGAGGTATTATTTCTGCTACTAATACCAGTGATAGGGCACTATTCCCCCAACTAATACCAATGATTGGACACTATTCCTTCTTATACTGACTACAAGCACTATGTATTTTTTTTTTTACTCCCACTGACACTGGGACATTTTCTACTCCCACTGGTCACTGCGGCCCCCCTAAAGTCTGAAAGATAGTAAGCCAGCCCTTTGTTTAGAAAGTTTGAAGACCCCTGCTCAGGGAGGATGCAAAACCCCTGATCTGTGTCTAAGCAGTGCTGATTGGTCCTGTGCTGATCACATGCACTCTCCCAAGAAAAAAAAACTCTAGCAATACAAACCAAACTGAGCATGTGCAGTGTCTCTGTGATACATCAGAAGATAAGAGGGGAGCACTGAAAGAAGGGGAGCCTTTTTACACAATACAGAGGATTAACCCCTTAGGTTCCACAGTGAGTATAACAAGCATGTTTTACTGCATCTACAGAATGATATTACTGTTGTGGGTTTAGTAACGCTTTAAATAACTTTTCACGCTCAGACTTGTTTCATATTTTTGTTACTTATACAAAATCATTATTTTACTCTGTAACAGCTTAAAAAGGTAACTCCACTTTCATAGGGAAAAAAAGAGCAAATAAAAAAAAATATAGCATATACAATTGCAACCCAAGTCATATTGTAATTAAATGTTATATAAAATGACCTTTCCTTTGTAATCTGAAACACTGTAATCTTCTGTAAAATGCAATATGGCAACCTGGAGGTGTTCTGTACACAGAACGCTCCCTGAAAATGTCATTTCCTGCTTGAGTGACTGGCTGATTCATTTTCACAGAAGTCTGAACTAAGATACAGATCTGAGCATCCCCTGCAACAAAAATGTCATTTTGGTGAGATACTTCCAAAGGGAAATCATGTCTAAAGGGATGCAGACCCTGCAATGTCCTCATTAGAACCCTGCAGGTGCAGCAGCTGATTGATAATTTTAAAATCACTCCCATACAGGGGCGGACTGACAACTCATGGGGCCACCGGGCAATAGGGGATCATGGGGCCCCTGTGTCCTCGCCCACACTCAAAAAAGCCTATGAAAGGTACCAGGGGCATCTCATGGGGCCCCCTACTGACCCTGGGCCCTCGGGCTGTGCCCGAGTTCCCAAATGGTCAGTCCGCCCCTGCTCCCATAGAGATTCACTCTGCACATGGACATAGACAGACAAACAGCTCTTTCTTCAGAATAACAAAGAGTAGGAATCTGCAACACAGAGGGGAATGTTTTTTCTTAAAAAAAAGTTGAGTTACCCTTTAAGGGTTTTTTTGTTTTTCTTTTTTTCATAAGAGAAAAAAAATATATTTAAAAAAATTTTTTTTTTTTAAATATATTCTTCAGATTTTTCTTAACATATAAAAAAGTCATTTTAACATATTTGTAAACGCATTCCAAAAATGTAGATTTATATTTTTAAAGACAAACAGTATTATTATTATACAGTATATATATATAGCGCCAACAGTTTGCTCAGCACTGTACAATATAAAAGGGAGACAGTACACGAGACAGTACAGTAACAATACAATTCGATACACGAGGGGTTCGAGGGCCCTGCTCCTTGGAGCTTACAATCTAGGAGGGAGGGGATAGTGGTACAGGAGGAAATAGCTGTGGGGGATGGAGTGGTAGGAAGAGTGGAGGAGATCGGCAATTAGCAGACGGCGGGGTAGGCTTCCTGAAGAGGTGGGTTTGTAGGTGATAGTCTGATGGATTGGGGTAGGGAGTTCCAGAGGATGGGGGAAACAGTATATTTGAAATGTATTTTTAAAAATATTTTTCATATATTTTGTAATAAAAATGCATTTCAACATGCAGTGGATATATATATATATATATTGAATATGGCCAAAATTGT